TGCGCAGATGGCTAGTCTCTGTTAAGACTGTCCGCCGCGTCCGAATCGCGATCTGGAGGATATTACGAGTATAACATAACATAACATAACATAAACACTCACGCCTGTCACCCAGAGGGGTAGGCAGATACTACGGACTTCCATTTGGCACGATCCTGACATACCTCTTTCGCCTCTTTACATCCATATATCTACGCATACATGCTCGTCGGTTAAGGGTACTTCTAACGTGGCCCATTTTCAAAATATCGCCAATTTGGTCGATAAACTTTTTTCTAGGGCGTCCCTTCCTGACTCGGCCGTTCACATCTGCCATATAAATTTGCTTTGTCACTCTTTCCTCATTCATTCTTTCTACATGACCAAACCACCGAAGCATTCCTTTCTTAATCCTGGTCACAATATCATCTTGCATACCACATTTATCTAATATTATAGTACATACTACGAGTATGTACTATAATATTACCTCTCTGAAATAAGAGAAGGCCTGTGCCCAGGAGTAGGACGCATATAGGCTGAAACTTCGTTTAATATTAACCATATGGTAGCAGCATACAAAAATACATGGTTCCATTTTGTCCTATATTTGTCTTAAGGGGTGACTTTGGGATGGGTCAAGAAAAACTTATGGTTTCCAATAGATAGCGGTATAGCAATCTCGTTCACATAGATCTCAGAGCAACAAACAAGTGTAATCGGATAATAGCGTCCATTTCAAGTAAAGTCTTAGCAGGGTGCGGACCGCGATTTCAAAAGTTCGATATTCGAACGATATTCATTCAACTACTATCATGAACTACCCCTAACATTTATTTATTTATTTTTTATTTATTTAAATAGATACACCATCGACAATATCATTTAAAATTGTTACAATCAAAATACTACATTTTTAGATAAATGATATGTCTTTACAAGCGTATACATCAATATAAGAGAAAAAAACTGAACAACATATAAACTCTAAAACAAAAAGAAATTAAACTAACCAATCAAAGTAAAAGCTGGTGCTTTTATTCACTAATATAACATAAACATAACATAAACACTCACGCCTGTCACCCAGAGGGGTAGGCAGAGACTACGGACTTCCATTTGGCACGATCCTGACATACCTCTTTCGCCTCCTTTACATCCATATATCTACGCATACATGCTCGTCGGTTAAGGGTACTTCTAACGTGGCCCATTTTCAAAATATCGCCAATTTGGTCGATAAACTTTTTCCTAGAGCGTCCCTTCCCGACTCGGCCATTCACATCTGCCATATAAATTTGCTTAGTCACTCTTTCCTCATTCATTCTTTCTACGTGACAAAACCACCGAAGCATTCCTTTCTTAATCCTGGTCACAACATCATCTTGCATACCACATTTATCTCTTATCACGCAATTTCTCACCCTGTCATTCAGATTACACCCTACCATATTCCTTAAAGACCGCATTTCTACAGCATTTATTCTACTTTCGTGCTTCTTCTGCCACACCCAGCTTTCACTACCATACATTAAAGTAGGGACTAACACAGCATTATGAATTACCATACGTGCCTGTTTTGACAAATTCTGGTTCTTCATAATAGAGTGTAGTGCCCCATTCACTCTATTCCCTGCTTTTATTCACTAATAATTAAATTTTAAGCTAACCAGGAGAAAAAAAAACCGAAACCAAAGCAACATCAACTTATTTTAAGAATCTCTCATTAAAGTATTCCTTCCACAGACTGACACATCTTTCTTTCACCTTGTATAGAAAGTCTGAAAAATAAGATAAACAATGCAGTAAAATACCGTCAGAGGAAGCTTCCTTTGCTAGTCTATCTGCCACTTCATTAACTACTAGGCCAATATGAGCAGGAATCCACTGTAAACAATTATATTTTTTTTGGTTAAACTATCAATACACTTCAAAATACTGTAAGCTATCGGTGTTCCTCAAAAATTCGAGGTACAACGAGCCAAGTGTTGCAGAACACTCTTAGAGTATGTCAAAATAACATATTTGTGATTGAGTGATACAATACAGCTTCTGAAATTGCTATCAGTTAATAGAAAAAATAATTCAAACGTGTCTGTAATGTGTGCTGACACATTACAGACACGTTTGAATTAATTTTGAATTTCATTGATATGTTTAACTGGGGGTCAAAAAAGCACTCCAATATTATTATTATTATCTCTAGATCCATCGGTATAGATTTTATTAGATTGCAAATATTTATCATCAATAAATTTTAAACTTATTTGTCTCAGAACCACATTGCTATAGTCGTGTTTAGGTTTATCAACAGTCTCAATAAGAGAAAGTACAATACCAGAAAGATCCACATTGCTAACCTAGGTATCTAAGGAGAACATTTCAGGTTGCGTGGAGTAATGAATATTAGAGCCTTTAATACAATTATGTACGACTGCCAACGGAGGTTTCTTTTTCTTACATGATAGATGAGTCACGAAATATTCATCTAACTTATCTAATACTATAATTAATTCATTATCTAAAAGTGATTTTGTTTTCAGCCAGAATTTTCCTGCAAGATAATACCTTCGTATATGTAGCGGCTCAATACAAAGCTCATTCTCCATCACATGTATTTCGTAAGCGTGCTTCTTAAAAATCCACCAATAACTCTCATAGCTTGATTTTGCACTCCTAATTTTTAAGGTACGTTAAAGAGCTACTATCATAGAGGAAACAAGCATAATCAATTCTACTTCTCATGATTGCGATATACAAACGACGCAAATGTGATGGATGTAGACCCCACCCTGGCCCAGACAAACATTTAAGAATATTTAGAAACTTAAGTGCTTTTTCGGCAAGTTCATTTATATGTTTTCCCCATCTTAGACCACGATCCAACCATATACCTAAATATTTTATATTATCAACTACCTGTAAGGAAAAGTCATTAATTTTTAAGTCTATCACTCACGTCTAAATCCACAAGAGATCACACACATACACTTTACTTTTTATAGGAGACACTTCTAGACCTATCTTGAAAAGCAGTGCGCTTACTAAATCCAATGCCTCTTGGAGATGGTCAACAGCTTCTAATAAATTTTTACGGCCCACGTATATAACGAAGTCATCTGCGTATTGTGTATATTCTTTTGTACCTCTTTGCATATTTGTGTCGTAATTATGTTGAATAGCAATGGTGATAATGGGCCCCCATGAGCCAATCCCCTACCTGTATTTCGGCAAATTATTGCATTACGGCATTATTAAAGTGAATCTTTAATGATCTTTGACTGAGAAAATTCCGTAGGTAATTACATATAGCTGAACCTATACCAAAACGATCCATAGCCTGAATTACACTAGAAATATCCACGTTATTGTATGCGTCATCTATATCTATGAAACAACCAATTGTAGCTATTCTACCTGTTAAGCCTAACTGAATTTCAGAAACCAGACTAGAAAGGTTATTCAACGTTGAACGACCTCTTCTAAAACCTTTTGTGTTATTCGATAAAATGTTATTTTTTTCGGTATACCATTCTAATCTGTTATTAATAATAGTGTGAAAAATTTTACACATACACGAGATCATAGAGATAGGACGTAATGCTGAAACTAAACTATTATTTCCCCCTGGTTTAGGGATTGGCACATTACTATATCTCTCCACTGATTGGGGACAAAACTACTCCATAAAAACGTATTATATAAATCAAGCAATAAGCATTTTCCATTATTTGAGAGATTTTTAATCATGGAGTATGAAATATTGTCCGCTCCTGGGGACGTGTCATTTCTAATTCATGTAATGACATTTTGGTTTCTAATTTTTGTTTAGTAGATAGAATAGCGGGTTTCGTAGGGGAAACAAAATCAGGTGTCAAAGTATTAATCAACTCGGAAGCTAAATCCTTATCAATAAAATGGTTGCAAGCCCTGTAACCCTTAAACGATTTCATTTTTCACCACAAGTTATTTTGAGGGGCTGAATGATCAATGGTAGAATAAAACTCTTGCCAAGCGCTGTTTTTCGCTGTTCGTATTAATTTTTGCTCTATATGAATTTTATCTTTTAGGATATCAAAATTCTGTGGAGTAGGGTTTCGTCAAAATTTTGATAGTGCCAACCGTCTTTCAGCAACTGCTTTAGATAGTGCAGAATTCCAATAGGGTAAAGGTTTGAAGTAGTTGCTTGGATCTTGCTTGGATGTGCTCTTTAGCCGCTTCGTTAATGCATTCAATGCGTTTTGTAAGTCTATAGGTAGTGATATACCTGAAAAATTCCTGTGAAGCGCATCTTTGTACCCAATCCAATCGGCTTTCTTAAAGTTTCTTCTTATAACCTTCATATTACTAGTTTTAATATTAATGGATATTTTAATTATTTCATGATCACTGCTTAAAGTTTCATTTATTATGGCCCAATCGAGTTTTAAAGCGATATCCGCAGATGAGAAAGAAATATCCGGAGAGTATTCCTGCAAGCTACTGTCAACTAACTTAATGCGCGTTGGTCCACCATTGTTTAATGTTATTAATGAGTTATCTATTAACGCGTCAAAAATCTGAACTCCCCTAGAGTCTGTTTTCATTGACCAAGTATTATGGTGTGCATTGAAGTCGCCAAGTAATAGCGATTTTTTATTGATAAAAGATAGTAATTGATCCCAATCGTTAACGGTTGTATGTACAGAGGACAATAAACATCCATAATGTTTTCAATATCAACATAATTGTAAACGTTTAAATAAAGAATCTCTATGCCCGGGTTAACTAGTACATATTTTGTAAGCGACAATAACTGATTTGTGGGTAATTATTTCTACTCCACCGTAGGAATCGAAACGATCCCTACGGTGTATGTTATAGTTACTAATTTTTAATGGGCTGTCCTGCTCTAAACATGTTTCACTTAGAACCGCAATGTAACTCTTTTCCTGCGACAGTAACTGTTCAAATGCAACTAGCTTAGGTCTGATACTTTGAAAATTCCACTATAATATTAATCTTAACATGTTTTTTTTGTACTATTCATTTAAATAATCCAGTAATAATTTTAAAATAGGCCAATTCGAAATATTATCTACTACAACTAAAATCAACCATTCCACACAACACTTTATCACCTCCTTTATCTGGTCTTTCATAGATGCACTTCTTAAAAATATGACCTCTTTCAGTCTATTTAATAATTCACTAAAGTTTACTTCCTTTTTCGGGGGTGTCTTGGCCTCCAAATGGTCCATTGTTGGTGTATCCATGGAATTAGCATGGCGTTCAGGGGAGATAGCTTTCCTGGCGCATTGCCGCCGTGTCTTCTTGATCCGGAGGTTATATTTCGGTTCCGACTCGCTATGTACTATTGCGTCAGTCTTAACCACCTGAGCAAACGTAACCTGGTCATGTTCGCGGCCTTGGTCATATGAGGTAGACTGAGCTTGCGGAGCTTCCGAACTTAAAATGGTTATTTTACTGTTCGAGGGATTTGTCTCTTGCACCGGAGAGCTAGGTGTTACAATGATTGTAACCGCTTTTCTATATGTACAATTAAACTCTGCCATCAATTCCCTCAGACTTTTCTCCCATTGATATGCTGGGCAGGTCCTGGCCAAGGACATGTGATTACCTGTACAATTAACACATTTGTAGGTATTTATATTACAATTTTCATGATTTTCGCCGCACTTAGGACATACTACTTTGTTATATGGACATTTTTTAATTGTATGACGTAGTTTCCAACAGCGCGAACATTGTGACACCGGAAACACATATGGATCCACTTTAATTCTCAACCCCTCAACTTGTACGTATGCTGGTAGAAACGATCCCTTGAAACAGAGTTGTATTGATTCACTGGGAACCCAACCACTTCCAGCTGCACTTCGTCTTTGCAGTCGCTTGATGGAAGGAAGTTCTGCATTGTTGGGACACGAAATGTTCTTAATAATTTTCTCTTCACCTAGTTCTATACCAACATCCCTCGTAACCCCATATTAAACGCTTTTCTCCATAGCTTTTTGAACTTTCCAACCCCTTTCAATCAACGCTTTACATGTTTCCAACTTGGTTACACTCATCTCATTAGTAATATCTAAACGCACTTTGTACGGTTTTAAGTATTTAACTCTAGATATGTCTTAAATTTGTTGCTCCTTCAACACCCTAGCTAAGCCAAATTGCTTAAGTAACTTTTATCATGCCCAACTTTAACAATATTTTCTTTTCTCTTTACCAACATATCCTATAATTACAATTTAAAAATACACATTGATGTACCCACACGAAAGTCATCTTGCATCGATCATATTTTAAGTAATATTCCGAATGCAACTGCAGCAGTACTACCGCTTCATCTATCTGATCACGACACAGCACAATTATTAAGGATTCCTTTAAAACGCGATATACAAAAGCATGCGATATATTATATTTATAAAAGAGATTATAACAAAGATAATATTAGGAAATTTAGAGAATGTTTACAAAAAATGTATTGGTCAGAAGCGTATGCGGCAAATGATAGCTAGCGTAGCTTTCAGTAGTTTTCATGATTTGTTGTGCCTATTTTATAATCTTCGCTTTCCAAAAGTACGAATTAAAGTAGATATAAAAAATAATAAAAAACAAAATTGGATAAGTAAAGGGATCAAAGCAAGTTCTAAAACCAAACGATTCTTAAGATGTAAGTATTACAGGAAAACAAATGCTGTTAATAAAGCTAAATATATGACATATTCCAAACTATTACAGAAATGTATTCATAATTCAAAAAAAATTGCCGACATAAAGTTTATAAATAAAAATGACAACAAGTGTAAGGCCACGTGGAACATTATTAAAAAGGAAATAGGTAGCTCACATGACAAAAATGACATAGAAAAAATTATAATTAATAACAATGTTTTGACGGACCCAATAGAAATAGCCTCTGCCTTTAATAATCACTTTATTAATTCGACGCACGAAACAACACACACAAAAACAAAAAAATTGCTAAACAACACTCATAACATCAACACTATGTTTCTCAAACCCATGTAAAACAGGAAAACGAAGTTAGAAGAAAGATAATGTCATTAAAAAATACTAGTTCTGCAGGCTATGATGACATAAGTACAAAAATTCTAAAAAATTGTATCGACGAAATAATAGGAATCTTGACCCATTTAATAAACCTATCATTTTCGCGTGGAACTTTTCCAGATCCATTAAAGTTATCCATTGTCAAACCACTATATAAAAAAGGAGAGAAACATATCGTCAATAATTATCGCCCATTAACATTGATACCTATTATATCCAAAATTTATGAAAAGTGCATGTACAAAAGAATAATCGAATTCTGCAACAAATTTAATATTATAATTAACGAACAATACGGATTTCAAAAAAGACAAATCTACTACGTTGGCCGTTTTTTCTCTCCTAAAAATAATCCTATCAAATTTAAATAATAATCACTTAACTACAGGGCTTTTCTTTGACCTGTCTAAAGCTTTCGACTTAGTCTCACACGACCTCCTGCTACAAAAACTTGAAAAGCTTGGGATTAGAGGGCCCACTCTTCAATTGATATCTCCATACCTCAGTAACAGACAGCAATGTGTTACAATTATGAAAATAGATGAAAATAAAGATTTCATACCGTACTCGTCTGAATATAGACTCAATAGGTATGGCGTTCCACAAGGAAGTGTGCTTGGTCCTATTTTATTTATATTATATATTAATGACATTGTTAATATAACAAATCATAAATGCATATTATTCGCGGATGATATTTCTATAATTGTGACTTCTAATAAAAAAGATAACACTATTAATGACCATGAGACTGACATAAATAACACTATAGATAAATTAATTGAATGGCTTGACATAAACAATTTAAAAATAAATCTTGACAAATCTGTATATATACAATTCAATAAATGTAATAATAAAAAATATAATATTAATCTCAACATACCAAAAATAAAAGCAGTAACAAATACAAAATTTCTAGGAATAAATATAGATGAAAATTTTAACTGCAAATTGCAAGTAAACGATGTATCAACGAGATTAAATAAATTTGCATACGCCCTTAAACATTTAAAAAACGTTACCAACATAAAAACGGCTGTTCTGTCCTACCATGCATACGTCGAGTCAATACTGCGCTATGGACTTGTAATCTGGGTATTTCGGTATTCGAGCAATATGTGGGCTTAAACCGACTGAATCATGTCAACTGGTGTTTAAAAAACTTGACTTATTACCCCTACCATGTCTCTATATATTTATGAAATATGCATGTTTGTATGGAAGCATAAATATTTATTTAACACGGCGGATAATGTAAACCCTCGGATGCGGCGAAACCCGTACAAACTCATATTAAGTGACAATCCTAGAATAAGTAAATATAATAAAAGCTGTTTATCTATGTGTGTACGTTTATATAACAAGTTACCAAATAATATTAAAATGTTAAATACTAGATTATTTAAATCAAAATTACTGGAATACCTAGTTAAGAATAATTTTTATAGCATTATGGACTATATTAATCATAAGTCTTAATGCACGATAAAAATCTTTTGCATGCTATGTTCTCTCAAGCAAAACATGTTGTTCGAATGTATATTTGTAAAATCTTTTTCATACCATGTTTTAAGCAAATAAATATATTATTATTATTATTATTATATCGATTCATTTTATTCTTCATCCCTGTTTCTTTTACTTTTACATATATTACTACACTCGCTATCCATCTGTACCTGAGATATTATTTCGTCATCGTACTGGTCCAATTCAAATTCCAATTTATTTAACTCCATATTAGAGGACTGCTATTCGACGTCCGCAGCGTCTAATCGTTATCAGCGCTAAATTCGTTACGCACAGTATACTCGTCCACTATATTAACAGACGTAACGTCCGGCACTGAGATAAAATGCATCGCTGCAGTTAACAGCAAACCGGTTTGGCACGCCGTGACACAGCGCGTAATCGCGCGCTGTATATATCGTACTTATAGTCAACCAAATCTAAGAAATACCTTTTGACGTTTCACATTAATCATTTAGCAATAACTTTGCACAACCGTCCTGACACGATTTAAAATAACCGTTTACGTAACTCCGAAGAATTATAAAATTATATATTTTTCATTACAATTTTTATAGTTTTTTATCACTAATTTAAATTCCAATCTTTGAAATAAAGCAAAATATTAAAAAAAAACAGTATTAACTTTTTTACTTGACGTCGTTTCAATGATATGTCGCTATGTACCTTACCGTAGTGTTTGGATGATTAAAATTCATTGTTATGCGAATAATCGGCAAAAATGTTAAAATAATCGGTAAAAATATTAAAATCATCGAACCATTAATTTTTTAAATGTATTATTTGTTTAATTAAACTTTTATTTTTAATATTCTTTAAGTTGCATAAATCATGAATAAAAGAAGTTTTTTTTTGGAGACAAAGTAAAAAAATAAACTTCTTTATTAGATTAGATTTTGGACTCACTAGACATTTTAACGTAACTTAGTAGTATTACACGTAAAAAAGATACTAATTTACTACAGTAAAGGGCCTAAAGATTTTATAAAAATCTAACCGGAATCATGAAATCTGTAAAAAAAAGGGTTTTGATATTCTTGTACTGGGTAATGTAATATATTGAATAATAAAAAGATAAATATATTTGAAAATGATAACTTATTATATACATATATTATGAAGTGGTATATTATTTATTTATTACTAAAAAGAAATACCACTAAAACTTGTTTTTAATCCGATTTCTAAAAATTAATATTAATATCATGTAATAGGGTTCAAAGTGACCGTGGAACGAAATGTATTAAACCCCCTACTTTGTCATTTATTCCGGGGTAGTCGGGTACGGGTACGGATATTACTATACTGCATTGACGTTCGTCACGTTCAAGCTTTTTTTATTTATATACTCATCTTCTTCATCATATTGCTTGTAAAGATAAATTTTTTGTATTTATTTACTCATCATCATCATACAACGTGTACATAAGTAATTTTAATTGATAATTTCTCAGTATTCCCATTAAATACGGTAAAACTAATATCACTTTTCTAATCTATAGATTATAGGAAATAAATCGACATGAATATCATTAAGCTACGCCACAAATCGAGGTGAGCATTCTCCATACAAAAAAATTGTCCCCTCTGTATGAAAAAAAAAACTCATATACATGGCCGCCGCCATGCTGAAAAACCACTAAGTAATCAATCTCCCGCCACTTCGGGAGCTTACTGTGTGTAATTTTGTGGTTTTCTGTTTGTCTTCTTATTTTGTGACTCGACTCGGTAACTTTTTGGACTGTTTCTTCTATATTCGTTGAAATATGTTGCTCATATCGCAAAGGATGATTGAGCAAAAGTGGTAGAAAAAACAAAAAATAATAATTTTGGATGACTTTGAAAAAGACATTAATTTTTAATAATTAAAAAAAGAGATACTAATTGAAAATCAAATAATAATTAATCTAAACAACGACAGCTCAACTAGTTGTACTGAAAGTGATTGAATAAATTTATTTTTAATCTAATTTCAATAATTTTTATAACTTTGCCTGTAGAAAAAAGTAGTAACAACAAATACGAAGAAACAGATAAATCTTGTGATTTAAATTATCCGTTTTTAATTTATTTTGGTATTATTTAAACCAAACTGTAAATCATTACTAACTCTAAATAATTAATATCGATTTTTAGGAATCGAAAATAGCACATTCCCATTTTTTGGTTGGCATACTTGGTGCAATAATTCTGACAGCTATCAAAATGTATTTCTTAGATTTGGTTGACTATAACGCACGGTATAAACAACTACCTCGTACGCGTACCGACACGAGACTGAGTAACGGTACATGACTATAGCATTTTGACTCGAGAATGATCTCCATTAGTGTTACATTTAGTGTTATAAAAGGTAGACGTGCGTTTGTTTAGACAAGAATGTTCAAATCAAAATACAACAGTGTTTTAGACGGGTAAAATATTTTTGCTTAGATCAATTTGTCTAATGAACAGCTAGTTACAAGTCGAATTATTACAGTTTATTGCATTGATTTATATATTACACTAGATCAGCAATAGCCAAAGCCTTGCCACTGCACATATGGCCACAGCCATATGCCCAGCTAACGTCAGTTCAGTGTTCAATGTGACGCCGACAGAGTTGAGCTGCGAAAAAATTGGTAAATGCGTAGTAAAAAAATGCTATTTAAGGTCACAAAAACGTAATAAATCAAGCGGAATCACTTTCAGCACATAATTTTTAGTTCTTGTTTTCATATAAACGTAAAAACCTCAAATAATTAAATAAAATGATCGAATATTGCCATTTAGGTTCAATGTTGCCACTTTTCCGCATTTGTGATTATACTACATTAATGGGACACTACTAATGGAGTAAGTTAATTTGTTACCTCTGATTTTAAATATTTTGGAAATTATAATTAAATATAATGTTTTAACTTTCGCACAAAATAATTAACTATTCTTATTTTAGTTTATTCATGAATTATCGATTAAATATATTTTTTTACCTACTTTATATTAATAATTTTTTATTAATTATAATTTCATATAATTTTATATTAATTATATTTTATTACCTATTTTGTAATGTTTGACTTATTAGTAAAATAAAAATACTTAAAAAATATGTTTTAATTCATCATTATGTTTACTTCTATTCATCTGATAAGCTTTGTGTCCTTTTTTTCTAAAGGCACGTAATAAAGATTTTAAAATAAAATATGCTTTTTAAATATAAAAACAATTAATTGCAGCTTAAAAAACTAATTTTATTGCGTATTTGAGGTAAAATTTCATATAGTAAGCCACACCAACCCGCCATTGCATGTTTGTTTGTCTATTTTTATCTAATCTTAGCGATGATACCGTTTTCGCAACCTGTGTAAGTGAGATAGATATATATTTATTTAAAATTGTTATTAGTTTCAAAGCTACGTCGTCGCGTTTGGATAGTGGTTACACTTTTTTCGACGCGGGGTAATGTAGTTTGCTCCTCTAGTGTTGTATAACTCAATGGTTTATTGTTAAAGAATTGAATCAAACTAGCTTAGTGTTTCTATTATAAAGTGATATATTTTGTATGGTAACAGTATTATAGATGCGATTTATTGTATTATTGTTTTACTTTTCACGTTGTAAGAGTATTTGACGAAAAATTTATATTTTTGTCTGTATATTTCGATTTGTAACCTTGTTTTATAACTTTCTTTTTATACCTTTATTAAAAAATTTTTTTTTTTTTAAATTTAATTTTATTAAAATTATATTTTTTTTTGGTGAAGCAACCAAAAAAAAAAAAAAGTTTAGGTATTTTCAGAAATATTTGATGTGAATCTGATTTATGGTTCTAGGGCCAAAATGAAACGTAATGACGTAATTCTGCGTTTAGCTCTAAAGGATAAAAGAAATATATCCGCCGATTATTATCAAAAGATTGAGGGAACAAACATGCAAGGTACGATGCCTACTATTCTTACCTACTTACCCTACCTACCTGTTTTTACCAGGTTATTTTTGTCATTTTAAAAGTTAGTAGCATACGTTATTTTGTATAACGAACTAATTGAAGAGCCTAACTTTATGTAAAAAAGTATTGTTGAAATGGCCCCTAAATTGTAGAATAAATTACCTGATCACATAAAATGTTATAATGTGCAAAAATTTAAATCTATTTTAAGTGAATTTCTTACAGATGAATGTTATTATAATGTCAATGAATTTCTATTTACTAATAATTTAAATATGTATTATTTTGATTTGTTTTTTATATATATTTAATTTTATGATTTATGGATATATAAATTCGTATGATGTTAAAGCATTTCACGGAGATACTATAAAATTATAACATTGTCAACCTTCATTGATTGATTGATTGTAAACAAGTGAATTTCATCATAGGTTCATGTTAATATTTTTTTCAGAATCAAGAGAAAAATCGGATTTTGATATTATCGATAATCTATCAGAAACCGGAAAATTGACTTCGATATACCACAATGTAACCTCGCAAGAGCTAATCAAGATTTCATAGCAGTTCCCGAAGCTGAGAGTGAAAAAGGTTTCTTTTTATCGTGCAATCGGAGCAATGATGGCTTTAATTTTGGTGCCTGAAACGATGTGCTAATTTAAAAATGTGTTTTACAGAAAATAACACAAAAATTAATTCCAGCAAAAACACTACGGAATTTGAAACACTGTTATCTCCAAGTGAACATTTCAGAAGCTCTCAATGATCAATGCCAAATGATCTTCAGACTCAATGTGAAAAATATGGTAGTATTTTATTGTGCAATTGATATAAAAGTTGCCTTTGTTTAGTAGTCATTATAATTGTTGATTCGATTTTGCATTTACAGATATAACAATAAGTAATTCTGCCACTTACAATACTGAAGTGATACTATCTACAAGTTCAATAGAAGTTAAAGACCAGAGTTCCAAGCAAATCGAGAACCCTATTGATGACACGTCAACCGACTCTTCTTCAGATTCAGAAAGTACATGTTCTTCAGACAATTCTAATTCAACTTCAAATGAGGATAGTAATGATTTGGTGAAAGATCAATTTTTCAAATTGAGGACATCGTTCCATTAAAATCTCTGACGATTCCGAAACTGAAGACAACGTTGGTAACCAAGCTAACTTCAAAGCTACACCTGCAGCTACATCTTCAGTATCAACATTGTACTCAAGCCTAGATGACACGATACCAGACACGAAAAAACGAAGCAGAAAACGTGTAGCTAAACCAACTGAATGGTTACAAAATAAATGTAAAATCCTCAGAAATGCAGGATCTGCTTACGTAACACTAAAAACAAAGGTGAAGAAGGATGCTAGAAAAATTAAACCACCGTGTAGCGAACGCTGTCGGTTAAAGTGTAAAGAAGAATTTTCAGAAATAGATAGAGAAGCTGTTTTTAAAGAGTTCTGGGAACTTAAAAATATTAACCGCCAAAGACATTTTATCAACAGGCATATGGCGCCAATAAAGCGAAAATATAGATACACGACTACTCAAAAAGGGAGACAGTTAAATCATGCATTTTACTTGACTAAAATGGGATGTCAAATCCAAATCTGCAAGACATTCTTCATGAATACAATAGACATCAATAATAGAGTAATACAGACTGTAATCAAGAAGAGGACATTTGCTGGTTCCGTTGAAGAGGACAAAAGAGGCAAACATCACAGTCATCACAAATTGCCTATTGCTGATTGTGTTAAAGAATCTATTCGCAACCATGTTAATTCAATCCCCCGCATCGAGAGCTATTATTGGCGACAGCAAACTGCAAGGGAGTTTATTGAGGGTAGAAAAACAATAGCTGATCTTCACTGTGAGGACGTAAAAGAATGTGGGCTTAATAATAGACCTCACAGCAATTATGTAAAGTATGCAAAAAATTTTTAACACAGAGTTCAATTTAAGTTTTTTGAGACAAAAAAGGATCGCTGTGAGCTGTGTGTTGCTTATGAAATCGCAGAGGACAAACAACATCTTCAACAGATATATGATCAACACCTTTTGGAAAAGCAATTGTCACGACAGGAAAAACAGTGCGACAAAGATAACGCTTCGGAAACAAATATAATAGCAGTTTATGATCTTCAAGCTGTTCTACCAGTTCCAAAAGGTGACGTATCTGTTTTTTACTACAAAAGTAAATTGAACTGTTTTAACTTTACGGTGTCCAACCTTGCAACTAAAACAACTGAATGTTACTTCTGGCATGAGGGCATAGGTAATCGTGGTTCTGATGAAATTGGTAGTTGTATTCTCCAGTTTATAGAAAAAAGATTGTCTCAAATTAATGATGGTTCTGCTATTGACATAACCTTTTATTCAGACAACTGCGGAGGACAAAATAAAAACAAGTTTATAATGGCTCTATATGCCTATTGCGTACTCAAAACTGAAATCTATTACACAAATTTTTAGTGACTGGACATACTCAAAATGAAGGCGATTCAGTGCATTCGGTAATTGAGAAATACATTAAAAGGAGTTTGAAATTTAGCCCAATGTACGTGCCTTCTCAATGTGCACAAATAATAAGAACAGCCAAAAAAAACTGGGCCCCTATACTCGGTGAATGAGCTTTCATTTAATGACTTTATATCCCTGAAGAAGTTACATGCAGAACTACGTTTTGGTATGGGTAACATTAAATTGAAAGACGTCAGGGTCGCTAAATTCATGAAAGAAACACCTCGTGTTCTTTATTACAAGAACTCTTACGAAGACGAAGGATTTTCGGAAGCTAAAATATGGCGAACACACCCTGAGGTTCTGCCTGAACTAAAACATGCTTACTTCAGACAGCTCTCAATAAGCTAGAAGAAGAAAGCTGATTTGATGAGTTTGATTAATAGTAATCATATACCACAGTTTTATGCGCCTTTTTACAATCAATTGTAATTGAATGAATACCAGTAATTTTTTGATAATTATGCACCCTAATTAAAAGATGACTGAAACTTGGATTTTATCTGTGATTATGATTTTATAGTGATGACTACAGTTCCTACTGAGTATTTAAACATTATTTCATTAAGGAGAACGTTATACCAAATATTATTTAAGCGTAACTTAATTAAGTACTACCTGAACTTGTACTGTAAAGTGATTCGATAAAATTGTGATGCCTAGAATAGTTTACATTTTTGTTTTAGTAAAAATTTTTGCATATTTATGTTAGAGTTGATTTTGTTGAATAAAACTAAATTAAGGGATTCTATTGCGTTTATTTAACTGATTTTACTTATTTTTAATTCCTGACGTTTCGGGTGCTTTACAGCAACCATGGGGGGCCATGGGGGAAACTGAACGTAGCCGGGCTAACAATGACATTGGGACGTCAAACATCTCAGTCCCCCCCGTGACCATGGTTGCTGTAAAGCACCCGAAAATTCGGGAATTAAAAATAAGTAAAATCAGTTAAATAAACGCGATAGAATCCGTAAATTTAGTTTTATTCAATGTGTAGTGTTCGCGTAAATTTAAGAAATCATTATGTTGATTTTGTTACTAAGTCTAGAGCTATATAAATATTGTTTAGTTGAAAAAAGTTTAAATAACTGCCTAATTTTTATTATAATAAGAATTGTTACATTTGTCATACTGTATTTTCGTTTGTAAAAGTTCAAATAGTGATTTAAAATATTGTTACATTTTGGAATTTTCAGGTAATTTTTCAGGAAATTTGAAAAATAGCTTATGTCATTTAAACATATTTTTGTAAGCTTTTCAATTATATATAATTTGTATCACTTTATACTAATACTACAAGAATAAGGACTGTATAACGAATCCATGAGTTTATTTTCGCTTTTTTAAAGATCCAGGTTTTTCAAGTTGTAACCCTATTTTATCGAAAGTGCGATATGATGTAAGATTTAGTAATAGAAGTGGTTTACTTGAAACAAAACGTATATTAAAATACTCTCCTCCTCGTTTTTTTACCGGTTTTATTACTTTAATCGATGTAATAGGATTGCAGCTTGTAGACATCATGAATCTTGGATACCTAAACGGACTAGCACCATTTGCTCTGAACATTTTGATAAATCATATTTATTACTATCAATTATCTCTCCTCTTCTGTTTTCTATTTTTATAAATCTCATCACACTAAATCTCAAGAGCTCTTACCATCTGTATGCTGATGATCTGCAGTTATATGCGCAAATGGAACCTTCAAATATCCTTAGTGCTATCTCACTGTTAAATGATGATTTGAAATATATCTCAGAATGGTCTACTGTGTGACGTGAACCCGTCTAAATGTATACAAACGATAATCTTAGGTAGCTCAAGATTATTATCTACACTAGATATTCCCACCCTACCATCAATTATGTTTAATAATAATGTCATACCATTCTCTACTAATGTAAAGAACCTTGTTCTGTATATCGATGGTTGCTTAACATGGAACAAACATATGCAGGAGGTGAGTCGCGAAACTACTGGAACTTTGCGATCTCTATATCGATTTAAAAACTTTCTTCCTACCAATACCAAGATTTTACTTGTCCAATCACTTATTGTACCGATTATTGATTATGTCGATGTGTGTTGCTCAGACCTGTCTCATCTTCATCTTAATACATTGGATCGTCTGCTTAACAACTGCATCAGATACATTTACGGTCTTCGTAAATACGACCATGTATCTTTCTTTAGTACAGTGCTAAACTGGCTGCCTATCCGTCAGCGCAGATATGTTAGAATACTCTGTACCCTTTTCACAATTTTGAACGATCCATGTGCTCCCGAGTATCTGAAATCTAAATTTCAATACCTGGGAGATTGTCATAAATTTTCTCTCCGTTCCTCGGCCAATTTTAAGTTGCCTACTCCTTTACACCGTACTGGTTAATTATCGCACTCTTTTGCCCTCACAGCCATCAGACTCTGGAACGAAATCCCTCTTGACATTAAAAAAGCTCCCAACAAATTCGATTTTAAAAATCAAGTCCGTAAGTATAATATTAAATCGTGGAAAGTTTGAAATAACACAGCTCTTTTTTTCGTATATATTTCATATTTTTTCTGACATAGATAATATTTATACGTACCTATTGTATATATATATCTATATATATATATATATATATATATATATATGTGTGTGTGTGTGTGTGTGTGTGTGTGTGTGTGTGTGTATGTATTGTTTATTATACATTTTTTTTATCCTCTCTATTTGATTATTGCTGCACCGCCTCCAAAATGTCTATCTCTGTTTAGCCTAACTGGTTGACTGGGAGAGAATGCTCTATGGCATTAAGTCCGCCATATGTACTACTTTGTGCGTAAAAGCATTAATAAATAAATCTATAAAAGAGTGATGTCCAGCTGTAATTTTATCAATAAATTAAATATGTATTACCGTTTTTCATATTTACAAGGTAACTCACTGAACAGTGTCGTAATACCAGCTTTTTCCTAGTTTCGCAATGTAATCTAGTAATGATATAGAGATTGATGGATGGCAATTAATAAATTGTGCACTAAGCTTTGCGTTAACTTTGAACACGTTCTGTAATGTATTTTATGTCTAATTTAGATGCAGAGATCATCTATAAAGTTTCTATTTTGGGTTTAGTTTTACATAAATTTAAGTAGATGTTACTTCCTTAATACGTTTAATTGTTAATTTAATATAAACTTGAATATTATTTAGACGCATCGGTAGCGCGGTGGCTAAGAGTCTGCTGCACTGCTGGCTGCGGCTGCGGCACTGCATAGCCCTGGGTTTAGATCCTAATGAGTGAGTGTTTGTATTGTACGATGTAATGTAGTAGTTACATAAAAGAAAAGTAATGTTACAGCCTATATACGTTCCACTGCTGAGCACAAGCCTCCCCTCATTTCTGAGAGGGTTTTAGTAGTGTTGGCGAACTTCACATGTCTTCGAAACATTTTTTCTTATTTCTCTGACATGCAGGTTTTCTCACGATGTTTTTCTTTACCGCCAAGCACGTGGTAAATAATGTAATAGTTACACACATCCAATTATTAACGGTTAGTTTAATTTTAAAGTATTGATTGCTTACTAAAGCTTAATATACAATCCTACAAAGACCGAGGCTCTTGAACATGCTGAGCGAAAGTTTCCTTCAATCCCCTGTCGTATAAAATCGGGAAAAATCGAATGACAAACACAACAACGAATCTGTAAAAAAACTCCGTCTAGTCTGGATGATTGAATGGTGGTTGCTAGGGTTACTTGGCAGCTAGGTATACCTCTTGAAATTAACAGTGACACTTATAAAAAGGAACATTTTCCCCCTACATCCGAAAGCAGTACCAGTCAAGTTGTTTGGCAGTTTTATGTGTTGGCTAATCAAACTCGACGGTTACGGTGTAAAGAGAACACGAACTTTTCCCTCTTGACCACTTAATGATGAAAGCAGATTCCTCGTAAGTCTTATTGGTGACATTCGAAATTTGTTAATGGAATGGGTTAAGTTCAAGAGAGAAGGAGAATTATTGATGAAAAGTTTTAGATGTACGATTTACATATACATATATAAGTATGTTGTTCAATTGTGTTAGCAGAACCACTTTGCGAAATTTTTACTTAGTTTATTTGGTAATGATGCATCTATATATCTAGTTCTTCTCTATAAGGTTTTGTTTTTAACTGTGATAGTGCTGATATATCCTTTCAGGATAAAAGCATCTAAATAAATAAATAATAAATAGTTTTGCCTCAGCATTGCAGTAGGAAGCACACCAGTGCATAAGAGGAGCAGCATCAATGGTTTGAAATCTTCCCTGACCTCTCTGACAGATGTATTCATAATATATTCCGCGTAACATAAATACCAGATTATATATGTTGTTGAATGGAGGCAGCGTAAGAGAATTTATCACCTCATTTCGCCTCGTGGGTGTCCTAAGAATGTTTTCGATTGATTTGATTTTCTTCTTAGTTCAAACGTAATGTATCAAGGCTGATAATGAGCTGCATCACCTATGATGCTGCAATAAAGTGAATAAATTTTCTAAGCGTGACGATTAAGACAAATCCTTTACTTGGACTAGACTTTTATGGACGGATGTAGAACAAAAGAGATATATTAGATTTAAAATATCACGGTAACCAACTGGAAGCAGCGTCAAAATTTTGATACATCTGGTACTGAGGTGCTCAATTCACTTACTACAGAAAGAAGAAATTAAGAGACATTTATTTAGAATACAGATGACAACAGCCAGAATTACACTACATTAGACGGACAAATGCAGCATAAAAACAAAAAAAATACTTAATTAACTTTATCATACATACATTCATCATCATCCTCCAGCCATTCTCAAGTCCACTGTTGAACATAAGTCTCCCCCAAAGAGCTCCAGAAAGCACGTTCCTGAACCACCTGCTTCCATCAACTTCTTGCATTCCTAAAGATTAGTACTACATCTAGTGAGTGGTCGCTCTACACTTCGCTAACCAGTACGAGGTTGTTCACATTGAGAACGTTTTCTCCCCCCCCCCCCATAGTTTTTTGGTTCTTCAAGCTTTAAGATAGGCCGACTATGCGTGTTGGATATAAAGATATCGTATATTACAAGATCTTTTGGATATTTTCTTTGATAGCCACTTCACTTCTCAACAAGGCGAAAGTGGGTAATGGATTTCATGTCACCCCCATATATATGCACTATATACTGGGTGGTCCAAAAGGTGACGTCCAAAATTTTTTTTGGAATGCTGACCTTTCGGGCTACATGAAAATACCCCATGTATGTTCCGCGATTTTTCTTAGTTTACGAGATATGATTTTTTTGTATTATTTTGAAAAATATCTACTTATCGATTCAAAATTTTTTTCTTGAAAATTCTGCTCTCTTTTTTACTTTTTTTATTCTTAGCGTAGTCTTCATGAGTTGGACTCTTTGTCATAAAAAAATAAGCTGCCCACCATTAATACAAATTGCAAAAATTTTAATCGAAAACAAATTATACAGATATGATGGAATCAAAGTTTAAATTTGAAATTTAAACTAAAAATTAAATAATGAGTTCCATGACTTTAAAGTAATTTTAAAAACTTCGCAGCTTTAATTATAATCTAAAAAAAAGTGGTGGTCAATGGGCCTTGTTTAGCCGTAATCAGCCTCTAATTGCACAGAGGCGAAAATTTTCAACATTATTATTTAAACACCTTATTTCTAAAAATAATTAGGTTCGCCATAGAATCTAATCAAATGAAATAAAATAAAATGAAATGTAAATCTTCGGGTTGGGGATAGTACCACTTCAGTAAGTAGCACAGATGGGTCACAAAAAACCGCGAATTTCCTCTCAATGTTAATGAGATAATGAATAATAATAGTAATAGGCAGGTAGACGGTTGCAAATCACAAAAAATACCACGTGTCGAACAAAGGAAGCAGGAGTGAGAAATACTGTGTCGTGTGTAGCGCGCTCTCTCGCTCTGGCCATAGCTCGCGCGCATAAGGCGACAGGCGTAGCCTCAGTCATAGAATGCCTCAGTTTTTCACAGCTATCGCTCGCGCAACTACTACTCCAGTTTTTGTTTTCGATACTTCCTAATTTACCACGACTGCTTGCTAACTGGATTCTGTTTCGCCTTATAACTGATTTGACTGTGCTTGTGTTTCGGACTTTGATTGATTACCTTGTGATTTGGATTTTTATGTTGCAAAATGAGTTATTCTTTGAAGGAATATGCAGAAATGCATTATTTTTACGCCGTTGCCCAAGGCAATGGCCATTTAGCGGCAAGGCTTTACCGAGAGAAACTAGAACGGCGAGTAGAAGAACGGGAACTTTATCCCGATCACAGAGTGTTCATAAATACACATAATACATTTATGGACGGACGAATTCCGGGACGCAGTTCCCGCGAAGGAGTACCCAGAGTGGATCCAGATGTCAGAGATGAAATCGTGGAACAAGTGCAAAGATATCCTTTTATTAGCACCAGAGCTATTACGAGAACGACTGGTGTACCACGAACCTCAGTTATAAGGATAACGATAATCAATAAGTATAAATAAGTCAGGTAAGTTCATTTTGTCTTTAAAACTTTTACTTTGACACCGTATTAAATCGCACCTTTGAATAGCGACGAGCGATCAATTAATTTTAATTACTGATGTCGGGCAAAAACCACATTTCATGGACTAAAAACAGTGATACCACGCTTATTATATTCAACGCGTCCAAAAATTGCATCCTGCAGATTATTCAAGACGGGTGACTTTTTGTCGAACCATGCTGGAAAGAACTGCGGAGGATCCAGGTTTTTTTGATAAAATTCTGTGGACAGACGAGTCTAGATTTGAAAGAACAGGAGTCTTCAATATCCACAATTACCATAGTAGGGCTGTTGTAAACCCACACAAGGCAAGGCCTTCAAATTTTCAAACACATTATAGTGTAAACTTCTGGTCAGGAATTTTGAACGGGGAACTTATAGGACCTTTTGAATTGCCTGCTAGGCTAAACGGAGCCCAATATTTAGACTTTTTACAAAACAATTTAAACGGCTTATTAGGCGATGTAAACTTATTGACAAGAAGGGATATGATTTACCAAAATGATGGTGCTCCATGCCGCTATGCAAGAGAGGTACGGGAGCACCTTAATCAAAGATTCCCCAATAGATGGATTGGGCGTGGCGGACCGATTCATTGGCCTGCACGAACACCAGATTTGAACCCCATAGATTTCTCTCTCTGGGGATATTACAAAGAGATGGTGTACGCAAACGAAACAAACACCGAAGCAGAACTGCGAGATAAATTAACGGAGGCGGAAACAAAAAATCAGACAAAATTCAAAAGCTTTTAGAAGACTGAAACTAAATTTTCTAAGGCGTTGTAGACTGTGTATTGAAGTGGAGGGGGGGTATTTTGGGAATTGGTTGTAAAATAAAATAAGTATTAAAAAACCAAATTGTTTTATTTATTATGAAAGATTATGACATACCATGAAAATCTAATAATTATCCTTAGTAATAAACAATAGGTGCATAATAAAACCATTATTTTTGAACTTTTTGGCTCTGTGCAATTAAAGGCCGACTAGGGCTAAAAAAGGCCCATTGACCACCACTTTTTTGTATTATAACTAAAGCTTAGGGTTTTGCGAAGTTTTTAAAATTACTTTAAAGTCATGGAACTCATTATATAATTGTGTTGTGTACACATGTTTAAATTTCAAAATTAAACTTTGATTCAATCATATCTGCATAATTTGTTTTCGATTAAAATTTTTGCGATTTGTATTAATGGTAGGCAGCTTATTTTTTTATGTCAAAGAGTCCATCTCATGAAGACTACGCTAAGAATAAAAAAAGTAGAAAAGAGAGCAGAATTTTCAAGAAAAAAAATTTTTGAATCGCTAAGTCGACATTTTTCAAAATAATACAAAAAAAATTATCTCGTAAACTAAGAAAAATCGCGGAACATACATGGGGTATTTTCATGTAGCCCGAAAGGTCAGCATTCCAAAAAAAAATTTTGGACGTCACCTTTTGGACCACCCTGTATAGCATACCCCATATATAGCATTATTCAAACTATTTAATATAAATGCGTAAGTTTACGAAACAGTACGTTTTGCTAATTATGACATATGGCTCTCAGACCTGGTCATCCACTGGTGGCCGTATGTGTAAGCTTAATGCCACTCATTGAGCTATGAAGAGGGCTTTGACCCTTGTTATACGTGGTAGCGCCACGGTGCAGCTGTTATGGTTGTCTCACGAATGGATAGGTTCGGTCGGGGTTGGAC